GCTCCAGGGGGAGAAGGTCCCGCCGGCCCCCGTCGGCTCACGGTCGGGGCCCAGGGGGGACCCAGCCGCCGAGACTCCCCCACCTTTGGCGCAGGTTTCGAGGCAGTCCAAACAAGCTAATTAAATCCTGCTCTGCTTAATCAGAGCCATTGAACACCAGTCAGAAGAAATTAATCCCGTGTTTTATTAGATGCTGTTTGAAGTTGCGTTTGGCACCTCGTCCTCGGTTCTCATCTCCTTCTGGGGAAGGAAGAAGGACATCTGCGGGGAAGAGCGAGGGTGCAGCAGATGGCAGCGGGGATGATTCAGGGGCTCGAGGAAGGAGCTGCGACTCCAGCGGCATCCCTGGGGGGGGACGAGACACCTCTCCCCGCATCCCACGGCCCACCCCCTCCCCGTGGCTGAGAGTCTGCGAGCCAGGCAGGCATCCCAAAAATACGTGTTCCTCCGCATTGCATGCTAATGGCTCCGCGCGATAGGTCCCACCGCAATTAAAGCGCGCGGAGCATTAATATGCAACGTGGAGAGGCCACTCTTCCCACAGCTACTCCCTCCCAAACCTGTCCTTCCTGCTGCGCATCCCAGCCCACGGGGAGCCTGCCCACGGGGATCCCACAGCAGCCCCGGCCGAGCCGCCGGCAGCGCCCGGTGCATTGGTGCCTTCCCCCTCGCCGCGCCTGGGGGACGCTGCCTTTTGCCCCCCCGGCACCTTCTCTGGCCTTCGGGCTCGGCGGAGCAGGGTCTGTCGGGTACCCGCCGGGTGGGTGCCCTGCAACGCGGCCCCGGCAAGGGAGGCACCCCGGCGGCTGGGAGGAATCCACAGGCGGGTGGTTAAAACAACCAGCTGGGCTCTTGGTTTGGGGTTTTTAATGAATTCTGGTGCCTTCCTTGCCGCAACCCAAGAAAAAACTCCCGACGAAGAGAAAGCCTGGCCGAGTAAGGCAGCCCACGGGTCGCCCTCCAAGCCTTGGGAGCGCTCGGTAGCCTCAGTACGTCCTCGTGTGACTCGGCTAGACGGAGCTGCTGGCTTCGGGTGTGGGGATTTCTTTTTTTCCTAAATTTCCTGTCACAACTTGTGTTAAAACTTTGCAGAGCCATTTAATTGCGTTCTGCGGTGGTGATGATATGAAATTAGTCTCCCTTCTGATCTTTAGCTAAGTTGGTCCAAAGCACCGGCTTATAATTTGCTCTAATCATCAGGTCACGGAAGATGCGAAGGCAGGGCTGGTACCTGGTGAATTCACACAGGGCCGGAGTTTCCACCCTCGCTGTGCCAGCATTTGGTGGCTGGCAGGTCGGGCTCTGCCACCCTGGGATGGCAATATTGATACTTTCTTTTGGTGCCGCTTATGGGAAGCCTTCCATCAACTGCTCTTCTCCATCTCCCCTAGCAACAGCCGAGAACTGGAGCTGGTCCGGAGGAGAGGAGGGAGAGCCGAGGCGGCTTCCCGGGCCCCCCCCCGCCGGCTGCTCTCTCCTCCGAGCATCTCTCCCGGCTGGAGACCTGCAATCAGACTGCTGAAGGCACCTAAGGAGGCAGAGATCCCGGCTCCCATCGCGTTTTCCCTGGGCTAGCTCCATGTCCCAAACGACCCCTGGGGTCAGGGAGAGGAGGTGGCTGGGTCTTGTCCACTCACCTGTCCCAGAAAATCAGTGAGTTAAAAGAAAACTAGCTCCCGATGAACAGGAGCGGGGCAGGACGAAATTCTGGGCACGGAGAGGCCCTTTTGCTGCCGAGGGCACTGCACCGATCGCGGCGGTTGCATTAATGCTTTCCACCTCCACGCAGAAGGTACAGAATATGAGGGCATTATTTTTAACCGGGGATATTCAGCGAACATCTCACGTGCTGCTGGAGGGTCAAATTTATCCCATAGCCTCAGTCCCGGGGGAGGCTCCCGGTTATTTTTGAGCCCATCAGAGCAGCAGAGGAGCAGAAGGATGCGAAGGCTCGGGAGACACAAAGTCTGGGATTTGCCTGGCCCGGCCCTCCGGCCTCTGCCGCAGAGGCGCGCACGGAGCAGAGCCCCTAACGCCTGTCTCATCCTCTCCACCATCACCCCGGCCCCCCGCCCCGCCAACCAAAACTTGCGCGAAGCGCCAGGTTTTCTCCTTCCAAAGAGAGGATCTCGGATGCCTTCAAGTTTTGATCCTTTCCGACCTACCGCATTGCAAAGAGATTCCCCCCACCCCCCCAACGCTTGTTTTAAACCTTGCTTTAAAGCGAGTTTGGCCCTGCTCAGGCAGGTCCCGATGGCCGTGAACGTTCCCACGGGGTGCAGCAGCACTACCCGCTGCCGGAGGAGTTAGTTACTCCTCCGTCCCGCAGCTCCCCACGCAGCCGCCCCTGCCCTCGCAAAGAGGGTCACCGGGAGCATACGGCCCCGCTCAAACTCCTCGGGCTCTTCGGTGGTTTTGCAGGATGACGCTCGGCTGCGTGTTTTGCGGGACGAGGCTCGGATGCGCCGTAACCTCCCGATTTGAACCATCGGGTAACTCATCACGCAACCCCTACCCAGCCTCCGTCCCCGGTTTTTTGTTCAGCGAGTCATTCCGGAGGTAGAGGTGAGGCCGGGGTGGTGGTGGTAGGGGGGGAAGAGCTCTTTAAAGCCCTTATTTTTGTGCTGCTCCAACATCTGTTCCCGTGGAAACTGCCACCAGAAGGCAGGAGCGCTGGTTAGTTTGGTGGGCTCCTGCGTTCCGTCAGCGGGGCGAGGGTTGCGAAGCCCACCCTGGGGCGCAGCACGGCTTTGCCCAAAAACCCCCGCAGAGAGGCAAAAGGGGGCTCCCCACTGTCTACTCTGAGGGACCCCCCCAAAATCCAGGCCAGACCACCACCCAGCCCCAAGGGCTCGGCTTTCCCCCCCGCCTTGTTTTTAAAGGGCAGCGAAGCAAAACAGGCAGCGAGGCCCCGCCGCAAAAGCCTCGCCCCGTGACTGGAGGCGCTGAAGTTGGCCGGAGTCGGGGGAGGCCGGCCCCAAGCGCCCCTCAGGGCTCCTCACAGCCAGGACCGCCCGGGCCCTGAGGTAACCGCCCGCAGCGCCGGGGTCGGGGGACGCGGCGCCGGGCGGGACCCGCCGGGGCCGGGGCGGAGGCGGTG